TTTTTAGGATGTCCTGAGGTCATGAAACGTATCGTATAGCTACAAGTTCTTTCTCTTTCATTAATTCACAGATTTTTCACACAGAGAATGTGATCACGCAGGCTTGGAAATTCAAACATTAATGAGTTTAATTCCTAATCAGCTAATAGTTGAGATTTGACATAGTTGCAACAGTGCTTCCAGGTATGGGTTAACAGAAAGGGAGTATGGTACAGGGGAAAGATTTACTCAGGACAAAGTAACCATTGGTGGAGGTGTTGGAATGGTTTAGTTGTTTGACACGTATCTTGACAAATGGAGATGCATAGGTTAGGCAGTTGGCAAGTGGAGACTGCATTTATCAGTGACTTGGGGAGAGAGTTTTCCAGAGTAGGGTTACAGAAATTAGTGGTGTTGGAACAGAAATATGAAGGAAGAGGTCAAACAAGTCAAAAACAGCTGTAATGTTCTCTGATTATGTAAGTCTGTTTATATTAAATGTTCAATGAGCTTCATTCATTTAAACCTGGATTTACCTCAGGAGGTGAATGGGACTTGGTGCAAGTAAGGATGGCAAGTATTTCAATAAGGAATTCAGGAAATGGCTTGGGAAAGCACAGCAAGAAGTCAGATGAGCATCAAAAGAGCTGGAATAAAGATAAAAAAACTCAAATATGAAAGCAAGAGAGGTGCCAGGGAAAAGATCAACATGTAATTTGATGATTCATTGCTATCTTCTTATGGCAAAAGAAACTGCAGTGTCATATACTTCCTGAAAGAATATTTAAGTTAAAAAAAACTATCAAATTATTAAGAACAAACTTTAAGAGATAATTATATTGATATTTCTGATGTTTATAAATTATATGAACCTGCATAGAACATGCCTCCTGCTTGTAGAAGCTAAATGCTGTTGGAAAATAAGTCACCAGGCTAGGAAAGTTTAATGAAGCAATTAGAATTCATGCAGAGTAGTTCATTAACTACATAACTTGGATCTGAGGACTGTTTTTTTTCTCAAATAAAAATGAATGTAATAAGTTTGACTTAAATGACAAATTACCCAAAAGTGTTTTAAGAAAACATTAATGAGAAACTTATGGTTATGGTAAGACAATCCCAAAAAGAAATTCTCAGGGCTATAGAGCATGTGGAGGGGCTTGAAAATATTTAGATGGCTGTTTCAAAGTGCAGGTACAGTACGCAATGAGTAATCTACTGTTGTGCTGCTTGGTTGTATGACCCTAAGTCCAGCAGTGAACAATTTCACAGAATTGTTTGTAATCATCTGCTCCAATTCAACCAAAAAGGCTGAAACAAAAACAGAAACCGCTGGAAAATCTCAGCAGGTCTGGCAGCATCCGTGGAGGGAAATCAGAGTTAATGTTTCGGGTCCAGTGACCCTTCTTCAGCACCTGACTTTGTCATATAAAGGCTAACTTTGTGGGTTCAAAAAGAGATGTCATTTCTGACAAACAAAACACTTGGCACCTCAGGGCATCCATTTGCAGAGTGTGGTCCTACAGCACATCGAGGGAAATTTCCTTCTATTTTGCCTGAACATTAAACTTCAGCAGACTGTGTACTACTTGCAGAAGTGTAACCTGTTTCTTTATCCCCCCCACAGTGTCTACTCTGTGTGAAACATCCAATTAGACCAAACTAATGACATGATGCATGCATATTAAAAATTGAATTGAGTACACAAATTATTTTCACAAGATGCTTGCAAAAGAACCAGTCTGAATGAGGTTCCAGACTAGAAAGGGTAATACTGACCCCTCTGAACAACCTTGTTCCTCTTTGGCTCAAATTTCTCCTCCCACTCAAACCTTGTGAACATCGTTAAAGGACATCTCTTCATTATAACGGTTCTACTGTTACTGACAGATATTAAATTTAATCCCATTTTGGTCTGCTAGAAGAACAAGATTTCTGGTTGCTTTGGTACTCTTCATTATTGCAATGATTCAGGGGCATGCTCTGACCTTTATATATGCCATCCCTTCAATTTCTCATCCACCAGGTGATGGAAAAGGAAGTGGTCATATGGACTATTCTAATTGTACTGGCTCGGTGAAAGCACTATCTAATAAATATCCATAGCAAGCAATTTTTTTTCCCCTTCAATGTTTTTCAATTTGCTTTGCAAGTTACTATTACGTCTGTTTCCATGACCTTTTGAGAGAGTGCATTCCAGATCCTAATTCACTGAATAAAAAATACTTTTTGCTCTTATTGTCTGCATCTTTTCCATAGCACTTGCACATTATCTGAAGTCAGAACTGGACACAATACAACAACTAAGGGCTAACAAACAAAATATTTACAATAACAACCCGTCTTTCTCAGCAGTACGAATAGGGAGATAGCAGCAGCTGCTGGTGTCACTCAGGTTGAGAAGGGACCCAGCCTCAGCGAATGAGTGGAAGGGGTTGTCACGGGGAACATGGCAAGGTAGGGAGATGGGTCAGAAACAAGAGCAGTTGGTTGGCTCTTAGTGGGCCCCCAACCCTACCTGATTTCGTATCCCTCAATTAGGCACTGACTTCCTTTGCTGTGCTTCCTTTATGGCAAATTCCCCTTCCTCTGCAGGGCTAATACTGACTGCCATGGGGTGAGACCCTTAAGAGACCATTAATTCACAGTTGGAGGACTCAACTGGCAGGTGAGTGGGAAAGTCATCCATAGGCCTTCCCACTATCAACTCACTGAAGGTGGGGGTGTCCCATCCACTTGATTACATTCACCTCAAGCACCAAACTCACCATGAGGGAGGACATAAGATTCTGTCCAAACAAAAACAAAGTTGCTGGAAAAGCTCAGCAGGTCTGGCAGCATCTGTGGAGGAGAAAACAGAGTTACCGTTTCGGGTCTGGTGACCCTTCCTCAGAACCTTCCTCCTAAGATTCTGTCCAATGTTTCTTCCATTAATAAAACCAAGGATTTCTTCTTATGTTGAATAACAACCTTTTCAACTTGTTCTGACATTTTCAATACACAGATGGGATTTAAGGAGCATCATATATGACAGCAAGCCAAAAGATCTCATGCCAATTATTTGAAGAACTTGGAAGTTTTGATGGATGAGATGTGAGGAACATACATTCCATACTCGACTTTTACTGGATATAGATTTTTTGAAGAAGCTTGCACAGTTTTGCAAATGTTTCATTCAGATCAATATCAGCTAAAAACAATTAAGGTTTGAGTTTAATGCATGAAGTAGTTTTGCAAACCTTTGCAATCTTTTATTTAACCATCAACAGTTTTAGACAAACAGTCAATGTATGATCGGGTAAATCAAATCCTGAAGGAGGATTCTACAGAAATGAAACAGTGACAAAATCCAACAGCTCCTCAAGCCTGCTCAACTCTTCAATATGATCATGGCTACTCTTGACTAACTCCAACTTCTCAACTTAACCCTATACCTTTTGTGCCCAAAAATTACAAGACTACAATTGCAAATTATACAGATTGAAGATGCTGACATTCAATAACCACAGGATTTCAATTCATTGCATAGGGAATAAATATCAGAAAGTCTGCAATAAACTCTCTACTCTTGAAGTCTATTTTAGGTTTCTTACTAAGCCACTGGATGTATGAGTTCGTCAGGCTCCTCTGACAACCATTTCAGGTTGCAAACAGTCGGATGAAATAAAGTGATTTGTGTCAAGCTCCACACAGTCAACCCAGCATTTCCTTTTATTTCACACTATGCAGAGAACACTTGAGAGATCAGAATGTGTTTGGATTGGCTTAGAAAGGAACTTTCATTTAGTAGCACCGTTCACATTCTCAGGATGTCCAAGGTAGATAGGGATTGGCAATAAATGTTGGGCTAGCCAGTGATGCCCACATCTCATGAATAAACAAACAATTGCATCAGTCAACGAGTACCTTTGATTGAGAATGTTGTAGCACAGATGGAGGCCATTCAGTCCACTGTGCCTGTACTTTGAAGGAACTATTCAATTAGTCCTACCCCCAATGTTTTATCTGTATATCCTACAAATGTTATCTCTTCATGTGTATCCGAATCCTTTTGGACAGTTGCTGTTGAATCTGCATCCATCTTGTTTTCAGGTGGTGCATTCCAGTTTTCTTGGAAAACAAATATTAACTAAAATCAAAAAGGCTCATAGATTGTATGGATATCAGTTTACTCTGTGACTGATTCCACCACAGGCTTGTAACAGAGACCCTAAGAATTGTAAGTGGCTACTGGTGACGTTAGCGACTGATTATCTGTTTGCCATTCACAGTTGCAATGGTAACAATATTCTCATGCCAATCAAAACAAATAAAAACAGGAGTGCTGTATGAAGTCATCCAGTGTACATCTGCTAATATTTGTCAAAGCCGGTTTTCCAGGGTCTGCTTTTTAAGAGTGCTGTATATAGTCGCTAATCTGTAAAGCAACTAGTGATGTGTTGTCACATTTCCAACTGTGTTCAAAAACCATTTATTTCTACTGACAATCTCTCCACTTCTGCATTTTGCTTAAACTCTGGAGATTGCAAGTTTTGGCAACCCCTTTCCAAAATGTTTGGAATTAAAATTATCCCACTCCAATTCTCTCACCAGGAATGAGCAGAGACAGTTGAATAACTCCATGGAAAGTTTGATCTGTAAGTTTCTCACTCACAGAACCAGAATGACAACCCTTTGGGTGATGTCACTCATTATGATTGAGAAACGCACAGTGTGGTCATGTAAAGCCTGCTTTTACTTCAGATCATCAGACCCTTTCCAGGTAAAACAAATCCTGGGGAGTAAAAGCGATACAACATGCATACTCCCAATCAGGGTGTCCCTCTAGTATTCTATCATTCCAACTGCAAATACATGGCACAGAATGACTGAAGCTACCGAGTGGTTACATTAATAAAATCAGCTGCTCAAAACATTTATGACTGCATCAGAAGTTCTCTTTACTAACATTTGAACAATCCAGGCAGACTTATGGTTAAGGGTCTTAGCACACTGTAAGCCTAGCCCCCTCTTTGGCTTACCTTCTGCCGGATTTCCTCTTCCATTTTCACAGGGGAGCCCCACTCAGCGACTTGTTTTACTCCATCGCTGGCAAATCCCCCATACTCCCAGAGCCTGTAAGACTTAGAATGAGATGCTCCAATGATAGCAGACCAGTGCGTTGCAAATTCTTGTTGTATCATGAAACAAAGAGAAAAGAATATGTTCAGTGTTTCAGTACAAAGGTTGTAAACACACATGCACACGAGCTTTAAGCATTTCACAGACATATCACTTTACCCCAATCTGCTCAAGGAAGGTTAAACAAAGAAATGAGTTTGATTAAAGACTATGTTGCTCGCTTACAAATAGTTCCATATTCTGAAAAACTTAGAGGCACTAGAGAAAGTGCAGCAAACGTTTGGAAGAGTGACCAGTGTTTGGAACCCTGCTACAGGTCTGATATTCCTATTTGCTTTTCCTTTAGTCCTGGCATATTGCATGGCTTTAGTTGGCATTGAGGGGTTTATGCACGCTGATACACAGTCTGTGGGAGACTAGTTGAATGGATCTGAAGATCTTTCGTGCCTAACACTGCTCACAGATTCACATCAGAACTAAGAGGTTACAGCTGCCAGAAAGGTTAAATAGCTGCGGATTTTTCATTCTTAGAAAAGACTGAGGCGTGACCTAATGACCTAATTTGACCTCACAAGGTTCTAGGATTACGAAAGAGTCTAAACATGGACAAGATTCCTCTACTTCTGAGGGTACCAAAGACCAGGGAACATAAAAGGATAGGCCGTGACAAGTCCAACAAGGAATCCAGGGGAACTTCTTTAGAGAGAATGGTGAAATGGAACTCAGGAAAGTTAGATGAATGAATGAGGGAGTAGTAGGACATATTGTTAGGGTGAGCTGAAGTATGCTCGGCAGAGCATAAACACCAAAGACTAAGTTGGGCTGAAAGGTTTGTTTCTGCATTGTAACTTGTTCATTATTCTACATGATGAGTCACAACCTTAAGTGTCAAGGACAACGTTCCATTTCTCTTTCTAATCAAACAACCCCTCAAGCAAGCAGGCTACAAATTCACCAGGTATATAAATTAACATCTAGATACAAACCTTTGGATAGAACAATAAGAAAAAGATGTAATGCTGTATGGGTAACAAGGTGTAGAGCTGGATGACCATAGCAGGCCAGGCAGCATCAGAGGAGCAGGAAAGCTGACGTTTTGGGTCTGGACCCTTCTTCAGACAGGATCCAGACCCAAAGTGTCAGCTTTCCTGCTCCTCTGATGCTGCCTGGCCTGCTGTGGTCATCTAGCTCTACGCCTTGTTATCTTAGACTCTAGCATCGGCAGTTCCTACTATCTCTAATGCTGTAGGGAGGTTTATTTCTAGACTTCTTTAAAATGCTTTGTATTTTTTTTGAAGAATGAAGTGTTGTACATTTTAATGTACTTGTGTGTTCAATGTGAGAATTAATCTGCAGTGATTGAGTACCCACCAGTGATGTGATCGAGATGATCCAAGTTCCATTGCTCTTTATGTGCCCAGTGTAAGGGCAACATAGGAAGATGCTTATCCAAGCTGCTTGCTAGTCATGTCCAGACTTTACAGATCATTTAAATACGAAAAGCATACATTTGCGAAATGGCTTAGGCACAAATGAACAAAAAGTAAATAGCAGCAGGAGTTTGGGCTTTTGAACCTGCCTTGTCATTCAATAAGATCATAGCTGATCTTCTACCTCACCACCTTCCCAGATTATTCACATATTGCTATTTTATTTATACCAGAAAATCTATCAATGCACTTTCTTGAATATGCTCAAGCTACTAAGTATCTTCATCTCTATGGAAAGAGAATTACAAAGGTTGAGCATTTTTATTGAAGAAATTCTTCCTCTCCTCAAACTTAAATGGCCAACTCTGTATTCTGAGAATCTGACCTCAGGTTCTAGATTTTCCATCCAGGAAAAATGACTTCTCAACATCTACCACGTCAAGTTTCTTCAGAGCCTTATATGTTTAAATGGGACTATCTCTCATTCTTCAAAACTTAGGGAATATAGACTATATCCACTCAATCTTTCCTCAAAGGCATCATTGAATATAGGAGCAAGAGGGAGCTACTGTGAAACAAATAAAAGTGAATTGCTGCAGATGCCGGAGATACGAAACAAAAACAGCAAGTGCTGGAGAAACTCAGATCTGGCAGCATCTGTGAAGAGAGTAGCAGAGTTAACTTTAAAGACACTTCTTCAGAACTGAAGGGGGTTGTAAAAATGACAGAACATTGATCATGACAAAATTGCTACCTGCTCTCATCCAGAATTGGAAAAATTAATCAATTTTACTTCCAATTTCCATCCTTTTCTCATCTTCACCTGGCCCATCTGTCTCTTCCTCTCCTTGATTTGTCGGTTTTCATTTCTGGGGATATGCTTTCCACTATTACTATCCCACAGACTCCCGGTTACATCTTCACTTCCTCATACTCACTTCCTTTATGAACTCCATTCTATGCTCCCAGTTTTGCCATTCTCCCATTGAACAATCAGGGATGTCCTGGGATTGGGGTAATTAATAAACAGTAGATCAGCTCACATGATAAATAAGTCATACTTTGGGAGGGAAAACAGTAACTAATAGAGTGCCGTAGGGATAAGTAATAAGCCTCAACTGTTTACAATGTATATTGATGGCTCGGACGAAGGGACTGATTGTATTGTTGCCAAATTTGCTGATGGATAAAAAAGGAGAACAAGATTTGAGGAGGATACAAATAGTCTGCAAAGGAAATTAATAGCTTAAGGAGATTTACAAAAAACTTGAGGGTATTGTCTTTAGTACAAAGAAAAACAGTACTTTATTTAAATGGAGAGAGATTAGACAATGCTACACATCAGGGGGATCTGGATGTCCTTGCAAATGAATCACAAAATGTTAGCATGCAAGTAGATACAGCAAATGAATAGAAAAGCAAACTCAATGTTGGCATTTATTACAAAAGGGATAGAGTATAAAAATAGAAGAGTCTTATTAAAACCATAGACAGGATTGGCAAGACTACACATGGAGTACTGCATACAGTTTGGTCTCCTTAGTTAAGGAAGGATATAATTGCATTGGAAACAGTTCATGGGAAGAAGGTTCACTAGGTTGATTCCTGGGATACGGGATTGTCTTACTAGAGCAGGTTAAAGCTATATTCATTGGAGGTTATTAGAATGAGAGATAGCCTTTTTGAAACATTTGGCAATAATACAGAGGCTCCCTCATAGGGTAGGTGCTAAGAGAATGCTTTCCTTTGTGGGGGACATTTGAACTATAGGGCAGCAATTTCAGGATAACGGGTCTCCATTTGAGATGGAGATGAGGAGGATTTTTGTATGGTCAGAAATCTTTGAATTGTCTCGCCCCACCAGCAGGAGGTAGGGATATTAAATAAATTCAAGGCTGAGCTAAACTGATTTTTTCATACAATGGGGAAGAGTTCTGGGGAACAGGCAGAAAAGTGAAGTGGAGACCAAGATCAACTGTGATATTAAATAGCAGAATAGGTTAGAGATGCTGAATGGTCACCTTCTTAGGCAGAGTCAGAGTCATAGAAATCTACATCCCAGAAAAAGGCTCTTCGACCTTGTATACCTTGGGATTGTAAGTGCACATCTAAATGCTTATTAAATATTGAGAGTTTCTGCGCTTAAGGTTATGGAGTTCCAGATTCCCATGACTCTGTGGTTGATGAAAGTTTCCTCACATCCCCTCTGAACCTCCTGCCCCTTATCTTGAAATCTAAGTCACCTGATGATCGATCCCATCATTGATAGGTTTCTTCCAATCTACTCTGTCTATGCTCCTTTTACTTTTATACATCTCAATCACATCCCCTCATAAATCACCTCTGCTCTAAGGAAAAAAAAAACCCAATTGTCCAATCTCTCCAATCGAAACTCTCTAGCCCAGGCAACATCGTGGTAAATCTCCTCTGCATCTGCTCCATTGCAATTACATCCCTCCTATAATGTGAATTCCAGACGGCACACAGAGCTGTGGTTTAATCAACAATTCATACAATTCCAGTCTGACCTCCCTGCTCTTAAGCTCCAAGCCTCAACTAATGAAAACAAGAATTCTATATACTTTCTTAACCAATTTATCTCCCTGTATTAGTAGGTTAAGTAACATTGTACATGCACACTAAGGACCCTCTGATCCTTAGTGATTTCCAGGGTCTTACCATTCATCATGTATTGCCATGCCTTGTTTGACCTGTTCAAGTGCATCACCTTACAGTTATATGGGTTGAATTCCATTTGCCACTGATCAGCCCATCTGACCTGCCCATCTATATCCTCGTGGTCCAAAGCTAAAGGTTAAGGCCAAGGCCATCTCCTCACTACTTACTACACCACCAATTTTTGCAGCATGTGCAAACTTACTGACCAGTTCTCCTAAATCATTTATGTAAACCACAAACAGCAAGATTCCCAACACTGATGCCTGTGGGACTCCACTGGACATAGACTTCCAGTTGGAAAAACACCCCTCAACCATTACCCTCTGCTTCCTGGCACTCAGTTGTGAATCTAATTTGCTAAATTTCAAATTTCATCCTCCTTTTCCTTGTTTGCACTGCTAGCAAAGTTGATCAGTGAGAATCCAACAGCTTTATGATCACATTTACCAATACCACTTTTCTGATTGGAGCATTTAAAGCAAAAAAAAAACAAAAAAAAACATTGATTGCAGTAGAATTTGAACTTTATTTCTTCTGGATTCATAGTTCAGGAACCTGAATTTGGAGAATAGGAACACAACTAGACAAGACAAGAAGGGCTAGAAATACTGATCATATACATCAGTGTTTGAAGGTTAAAGTGAAGAGTTCTGTTATAGGGTCCTATCGGAATTATTGGGCAGTTTATGCAGGATGCTGCAGCTTTAAAGAATCTTCAGCTTTTTTTTAAGCTCTGATTTTGCAGATTTGTTTTCTGTTTCTCTAGCAATAATTAGTTAAACAGTTAATTAGAGTGTGCGTTGAAAAAGCAATTAACTCAAATAGCCTGGGAGTCATTCCTGGTTAATACAGGCATGCAGCTGATTACGATCAGTGAAACATGGAACGACAAGCTAACATGTTAACTGTATCATTCTCAAATATCAACAGCCATATAGTT